GGATTGGGGATGGCCAGGTCAGGGTGTGACCCCAAAGGGGACCCTGAGCTCCAGCTGTCCCCAAATCCCGCTGGCTCTGCTGTCCCTGCTCCGACCTGCCCCACTGAGGGCCCAGTGCCAGCAGTCAGGTGGAAATTTTATCCCCCCTGGAATCTTTTCCTGGCTGGAAAACTCCCTCTGATCCCATCCTGCAGCCCCAGAACTCCCGGCCACACCACAAACCCTGCACACCTCTGCGAAGCATTTTACACTTCAGCCAAGCAGCGAAGGGATTCATTAACTCTGAGCACTAATTGGGGTCAGTGTCACTCTGCTGTGCCATGTGGGAACTCTTTGATCCCGGATATTTCTTCTCCTCAGCATTTGCCCCTGCCCCACTCGGACTTTGCCCGCTGCAAGTTTGGCCTGGCTGCTTTTTGGGATAAAAGAACAAAACACAGCTCCTGCTTTTAGGGTGAGGAAGGAGCTCCAGTGGGGCCACGAGCAATTCCACACAGCAGAAAATGCTCGAGTGGGTGGGATGGGCTGGAAAAGGGCCAAGAATTAGGACAGACATCGCCTGGCCCCGCAGGGCTCTGGAACAGGAGGGACAGGGCAGATCCCACCGGGATTCCTGGGACACTTCTGTCCCCACCCTACCGCGCTCAGCTCCCCCTGTCCCCTTTTCCAGAGCCGGCTCCACCTTCCTAGCAGAAGCATCCCTGGGATTTCTTCCTCACAAAACCCCCAAAAGAGCAAAGCTCCAGCCCCAGCCCGGCCCTGCCATTCCGGCTCTGCTCCTCGGAAGATTTTGGGGCTCCCCTGGACAAAGCCGAGCTGGACACGGCGCAGCTCCGAGCACTCGGGGTGGGGAAAAAGGCTGGAAATCCGCCCGGCTGGAAAGCAGGAGGAGGGTGGAGGGGAGCGCAGAGCGCAGGGAACTCCGGCAATGCTGCAGGGCAGGTCCGAGCGCGGCGGGGACGGATGCGCTGCAGGGCCCCGGGGCGGGGGACACCGGCAGAACCCCCCCAAAATTCCTGCAGAAAGTCGGGATGGGGATGGGCAGAGCGAGGTTTCCCTCCCTTGTGCAGCGCCGGGTTTTCCCACCAGTTTTCATGAGCGCTGATAAAAACAAATAAAAGGGAGAACGTTTCCAAGCAGCCCCGCGGCCGGGACATCCCGCTTCGCCGGGCTCGGGGGTGGCTGCTCCCTTTGGGAGCTGCAAGTTTTGCATTTCTTTCAGCCAGCTGTGGGTGCTGACACCGCCTGGGAGCCGGGGCTGTGTCCCGGAGAGAAGAGCGCAGGAGCCGTGCGGGGCCCGGGATGCGGAGCCCGGGATGGGGAGCCCGGGATGCGGAGCCCGGGATGCGGGGCTCGGGATGCGGGGTTTGGGATGCGGGCTCGGGATGCGGAGCCCGGGATGCGGGGCTCGGGATGCGGAGCCCGGGATGCGGGGCTTGGGATGCGGGCTCGGGATGCGGAGCCCGGGATGCGGGGCTCGGGATGCGGAGCCCGGGATGGGGAGCTCGGGATGCGGAGCCCGGGATGCGGGGCTCGGGATGCGGGGCCCGGGATGCGGAGCCCGGGATGGGGAGCCCGGGATGCGGAGCCCGGGATGAGGAGCCCGGGATGCGGGGCCCGGGATGCGGAGCCCGGGATGGGGAGCCCGGGATGCGGGGCTTGGGATGCGGAGCCCGGGATGCGGGGCCCGGGATGGGGAGCCCGGGATGCGGGGCTCGGGATGCGGGGCTTGGGATGAGGAGCCCGGGATGCGGGGCCCGGGATGCGGAGCCCGGGATGCGGAGCCCGGGATGCGGAGCCCGGGATGCGGAGCCCGGGATGCGCTGGGCGCTCCCTCTGCCCTTCCCGGGGCCGCTTCCAGCAGGAAAAGCGAAAGCAGCGGAGTTTCCCCACATTTGGGGTTTGCTTCCCTCGGGATCCCGGCAGGGAATTGCAGCCACCCGGGAGAGGGTGGGAACAAACCCAAATCCTATTTCTCTACAAAATCTGCTTCAATGCTTGGGTTCCGTGCTGCAAAGATGGGGAAAGTGGGGAGAGAGGAGAACTTAGAGACGGGGCGCAAACGGTGGCCAGGAATGAGAGAGGACAAAATAAAAAACACCAAAATAAGACCTGAAGCTCCTCTAGCACCTCCCACCCCTGTGCGGCTGGGAATGAGGATGCAGATGGGATTGGGATAGCTCGGTGCAGGGCTGCAGGACACAGGGACACTGCTGTCCCCTCCGCCACCCCCAGCTGTCACCCATCGAGCCCGACAGCAACAATGGGAGGGGAGGAAAAGGCTCCCCCAAACCCCTCCAGTGAAGAACGAACCCCTCCGGAGCAGGGATGGGTCATCCCCCCACACCAGGCATTCCACAGAGCCCAAAATTCCCAGGATCCACTATCCAATACCCCAATTTTAGGGGAAAAACCCCTTGGGGATCTGCACCCTGCAGAGTCCATATCCACCACCCAAAATCCCAACTTCAGGGGAAAATCCCATGAGGATTTGGACCCTGCACAGTCCAGACCCACCACCCAAAATGCCAATTTCAGGGGAAAATGCCCCTGGAGATCTGCACCCTGCAGAGTCCATATCCAACACACAAAATCTCAATTTTAGGGGAAAAAACCCTTGGCGATCTGCACCCTGCAGTGTTCAGATCCATCACCTAAAATCCTAATTTCAGGGGGAAATCCTCATGTGGATCTGCACCCCACAAGGTCCAGACCCACCACCCAAAATCCCAAATTCAGGGACTGATGAGCCCCCACACCAGAGTTTCCCACAGCTGGGAAGGATTTAACCCCGAGTCCCCGAGGTGACAGCCCTGACGTGGTCCCCCAGCCCAGCACAGGTAGGACAGAGATTCTGTTCCCTCCCAGATGTGTCAGAAAATAATAAATAAATAAATAAATAAATAAGAAAAAAAATACAGTTTTACATCTGATTTTCCTGCTGCCAGCGTGGGGATTAATCACACACCTCGTCTGGGCAGAGCCCAGCTATCACCACGCAGAGTCTCGCTCCATAAATTTTCAGCTGCTAATAATAAGGCTGGACAGGAGTTTTAAAGCTTCAGTAGACAGTTTACAATTAACCTGCTCCTGTCAGCTGGAAAATCACCTTAAAATGGGATTCCAGCTC